AAGCAAGATGACGACAGCTGGGAAGTTCATGCTGCAAACTGAGGCTGTTTACTGGCAAACACGACAGCTGCTAGGCAAACTGATGCTGCTTGGTCCAAACATTGCATGGCCAAGTGCTCATGGTGTCTGCAACCCATGTGTCCTTCAATGGACAATTTGACTTTCAACAGGTGCTCATGTAGGTGCATGCTGTTGCTAAGGATCCTGAGGATTCATGAGGACATTCGGCTCCTCGGAAGGGAAATTTTTATCGGGTTCACACATCCGTGGCCACTTTGGGCTGAAGCGTACAGTTGAAACTGCGAAGGTCCACATTATGGAGCCTTCGCTAGATAGGAACTTTGTCCAAATACACAAAGTTTGCGCCCGTACTGAACGGGAAAGAAATCATGCTCTGACATTCGAAGACATGCCCCTTCAAGGCATGGTGAAAAGACTCAGCCAAATTCAAAGGTAAGGTGCAATGGCTTTTGCAGCAACACGGCTGAAAGATGGGGGCAAAAGCCTCAGTCCTTTTCTTTCTTGTACTTCCTCTTGTACTCAATGACCTGTAGGGCTTGGGTTGGATTTCATGAATGGATCAGCAAAATCACGTCCAGAGATGCTCTAAAACATCAAAATGTCGAATGAGTGCTGCTGCCCTGGGACCTGAGGTGTCCCCAATTAGCGTCCTTGCTCCTAGTAGCGATGCCCTTTGTTCCTAGTAGCGAACATTGCTCCTAGTAGTACGGCCAGGAGCCCCTAGTAGCGTCCTTGCTCGTAGTTGCCTCCAAAGCCTGACCATCGTTATTAAACCGCCCTTTTCACCTGCTTCGAGTTGGCTTCCAGGCTGGCATCAAATTCAATGTGCTTGCATATGAAGTGCTTAAATCACAGAGACTTTGAAACATCCTTCACTCTAGCGTAAGCAGCACGATGCACAAGTGATAAAATTAAAGCCCTCTTGCACTGAATATAACAGCTTTGAGACATGTTGGGTTCAAGGTGGGGCACAAATGGTACGATTGGAACCTTTCACAGCCAAACTCTTCACAAGGTCCAAATCAACGAGATCCAAGCATATTCAACGTAGACATCTTCAGAGTCGAAGAGCACAAACTCCCTGAAACATGGATAGAGCGATAGAGGATTGAAAAACAAATAGCAGTCTGACAAAATCTTTTGGGCTGCCTGTAGGTTCCACGAGTCTTCTCTCGGTCGCCACAAACGGAATCAAAGTCCCCTTCGATGCAGGAATGGACAAGTGCCTGGGATAGCGCTGCAGGCTTGTTGCCCGAAGTGTGATGGCAGAGGTACCAAGTCACAGACTTCTGGATCTGGAGTAACCTCGTCAGTGTAGTTCACGCGGCCACCAATCACACGGCACAGAAGGACCTCAGTTGATGAAGAAAATTCCCTGATACCAGCATGGTGAAGGTGAACTGGTGGTGTATGTCGCACCATGAGGTGGGGAACTGTGAACAGGCAACCACTGTATGAACAAAACCAAAAGGAATAGACACCTGTATTTTATGGTGTTTCATGCCCCTTCCATGCAATCAAGGTAGGGTAGTCTGGAGAGATAGAGAGATGATAGATTTGCCTGGAATCTACCTGCATGCATATTTGTGTGAGAGAGGAGGTATGAAAATAAGAATGAGAAAAAGCGCCACTGAATCAGAGCAAATGAGTTGTGGAGTTGCTTGGAAATCTGAGTCCAAAGGATCTCAAGGTGCCTTCAACATCTCACCTCAACCTCATGACCTTGACCGTGTCATGAGTTGTTAAGCTCCTTTCAGAATCATCTCATGTCTTGGTTAACTCTCATCTTTTGGTCTTGTCTCATCTCATGTCCTCGGTGGCACATTCTACGTCACTTCACGTTCCTTGTCTCATCTCTACTAATTTCAACTACTCCTCACCTTGCCTTGGCTTGCCTTAATCTTCCATCGAAACAGCGAGTGTGAGTGTGGATGTTGTGCACCCGTTGATCTCATTGAAGGTAAGCTGAGGTTACGTCAAATGAAACGAGATGTAAAAGACAAGGATGATAGACACAATACTGGTAGTTGCTGCTGAGCAGATTGCTGTGCTGAAGTAGCTTCTGAGCAGAGCAAAAAGGCATAAAGGACAAGATTCCGAAGCCAGTCCTTGTTTCTCCAATCTTGGCCACCCCAACCGCGTATCGGCCCTCCGCATTAGGCTTGGCATACTCATCAGCCTCCGTTTTGTCGCGTCGCAGCCTATACTCACATTTTCTCTATAAAGTACGACGGCCTTCGTGATGGACTCTGCAAAGTAAAGTCCTGACACAGCTGTGACTCGAACAGGTAAGAAAGTAAGGAAGAGAAAAAGGTCTGGACGTGGTGACAACACACGTGTAAAGCAAATGCCCAAAGTACGAGATGAGACTGATGAGAAGGTAGTAGCAAGAAGCTACTAGGAACAAAGGGCATCGCTACTAGGAGCAAGGACGCTACTAGTAGCTCCTGGCCCTACCACTAGTAACAAGAAGCTACAGGAACCAAATCATTAGTGCAACCGCTTCTTCAAGGAAGCGTGAGCTCTCCTGCATCCTAGCCAGGAGCAAAGTTCTCCTAGTAGCTTACTTCTCCCTTACTTAATTAAGTAGGAGAGGCCTCTTTTGAAGTTCCCTGTATGCAAGCCATTTCTGAGGCAGCTCCTTTTCCATACAGAGTACCCGTGCTGGAGCCAGCTCGACTCACTTTGAAGTCAGATGCACCTTCGCCAACACGAAGCTGGTACGAACATGACAAACTAGCCTGCCGGCCTGGAATTTTTCAGGAGGCATTGAACTGGGCACCCCGACAAATGGCAGCTGCTGCTTCAGGATTGGTACCATGAAACAAGTACCATTCATTGCCTCGTTGTTGAGATCCGCTCTTGGAGCTCATTCCAAATAGAGAGCATGGTCAGTGATCGTATATATCATATCCTTAAACCACTACAGCATCGTGCTCAAATTGTATATTCTACTGGTTGCGTGAAAGCTGCCTGGCATTGGTTGACATGTACCAACTTGATTCATGTTCATTTGAATGAACTGAATGTGCCGCATTCTGTGAGGAGATACCAACATGATGTGTTCCTGGGACCCACAGGATCAATCACCAATGACTCCGAGGCATAACACTGTTTAGATGGAGCACCTTCTTGGCACCATCAGGATATACCATCAAGTACTTTCAGTCTCAAGAAAAGCTTGACAGAGAGCATTCCCTGAACAAATAAGATTTACCCCCTGCTGTGTGGCTTGTCCCTAGCAAGCTTGTTGGCTGCTTGCAAAGGCAACTTTGCGGCCTGTAATCCCAAAGTGGGATGAATCGGTAGACTTTGGACAAATGGAGGCAAGCAGAGTGCATATGGTTTTGGGCTTCGCCCAAGAAGACGACTTTCTTGGGGGTATTTTGTGTATGTCCTTGGTTGGGTTGCTGTCGCTTGGAACAGTTCTCCCCCGGCACTGTAGCCGCACTTGCGGATTTCGTCTCGCTTAATCCGCCGACCCCACACCGTGGGGTGAGGCGTGACTGTCGATGTTAGCCTTAGGCTTAGGCCTTAGCCTTAGCCTTAATCCTTAGCCCCTTAGCCTTAGCCTTAGACTTAAGCCTTAGCCTTGGCCTCAGCCTTAGCCTTAGACTTAGGCTTAGACCGTAGCCTTAGCCTTAGACCTTACCTCCCCTACCCCTCCGGACCTTTGTTGCAGTGACGAAATCCCGGCCTAAAAGCGACCTCAGAGCGACGTGATTGCGACCTGGATTGTCCAAGATTCTGCCATCCCAATATATTTACATCTTGGGGCACCCTCTCCACCCGCGCGGGAAAACAAGCACGGTCCAAAATGGTCCCGGGCTCGAATCCCGGGCTGGTCGCGGCGCAGTCCCGGCCAATGCCCTTGCTTTTTCGTAGATTTTGTCACGTTTTCTGTTGGATTTGTGGAATTTTCAAAGGCTTTTCTAGCATTTTCCTGGGAATGCTCTAGGCTTTGTCTGGATTTTGTTCTGTTTTCGGCTGGATGCTTTTCTTAGAATTTTCTAGCGCTGACTCTTGTTTTTAGGTTCCCAGATTTCCCCAAAAAATTGGTAACCTTTTGCTAACCTATGGAACTTTCAAAGGCGTTTCCAATATTTTCCTAGGAATGCTCTAGGCTTTGTCCAGATGTTGTTACGTTTTCGGTTGGATGCTTTTGCCAGAATTTTCTGGCGCTTCCTCTTGTCTTTAGGTTCCCAGATTTCCCCCCCAAAATTGTTAACCTTTGGCTAACCTATTTTATGCCAGTGTTCCCGGCCAATGCCCTTGATTTTTCCTAGGAATACTCTTGGCCGCACTTAGATTTTGTTACGTTTTCGACTAGATGCTAGGAATGCTCTAGGCTTTGTTTATTCGGGAGGGTGCTTTTCCAAAAATTTTCTTGCATGTCCTCTTGACTTAGGTTCCCAGATTTGCACCAAAAATTGTTAACCTTTGGCTATTATGCCAGTGTTCCCGGCCACACACGGGGCCCCTTAGACAACGACAGGCTCTACAATGAGCGCCCCCCTAACTTAACCCTACTTATAACTTGGGATAACATATATTAGTACTGGTTTAACATATATTATATCATACCTTAACCTGGCTTAACTTCATACCGACTTATAAGTCACTTAGAAGTAAGATCTTAAAGTTAGAGAAAAACTATCTTATTTATAACTTCTTACGGGGATCAAGGTCAAAAAAGTTATAAATAAGTTACCGAAGTTATTTTTTCAAAAGGAAAAATGTTATGTTTTTGAAACACCTGTGAAAAAAAGATGCGCACACTTTTTTTTCCCCAAATGTATCTGTTGTTGTTTTCAAATGACCGCAAGCATATGATGTCCTTTTTTGTTTTACCGTTGCCATGTTGGAGTTGAATTGCATTGCTACTTCTTCAGAACATGTTTTTTTGTGCTTGCATGCTTGTGAAAACGGTTGTAAACTTTCTCACACACTGAGCCTTTCCTCCTGCGCATGTGAGGGTGGTGGTCCACCTTCACAGTACCCTTTTCTCCCGAAGCCTATTTGGGTGTGAGGGGGGAGCGGCGTTGCGTGCCTCAATGGCGAGTGGTGAAGGTGAAGAACATGCTAAGAAACGCATGGCCATGCAGAGCTGGGAAATGTACCCAGCTTATGTACCTGCAAAGGTCTGGAATTCCTTCAGGGAAGCCAACAATATGATGGGGGCACTAGATGTTCTTTTGAACTTCTTGTTGAACTTGGGCATGCGGACTCCTTCAGAGCCGACCCAGTCGATGCTGGTCGCTGCTCTGATTCTACGAGAGGACCGAGAACGTCGCCAGCAGATCTTGGAGAGCAGTGATTCTTTGAGAAGTATTTTATGCAGCTCAGGTTCTGATTTGTGTATTTGTTTATGCATGACCAGGTTATTGGTTAGGGGAAATCTGTAACACGGTACACACATGTCTTTTGTTCCCTTTTGGTTGCATTCTTCAGTTCTGCTCATTCTAGGTAGTGTGAAGGGCCAATGGCAGACAAAATTGGCCAAGAGACGCGCAGCTTTCGGCAAGGCTCCTCCGCCTTTGGGCTTTGTGGAAACTTTGCCAGCAAGCTTCCACGAGGCCCCTGAAGCTCTTCGCGCTTTTTGTTGTCCAGACGGTGATCCTCCCCCCGGTATCGCCATGGCCTCTGGAAGACATTTTGCAGATCGCGAAAGAGGTGCCGCTTAGGAAACGCAAGGATGCTCCTTTGGCGTTTCCAACTTGCTTCCAATCTTTGCCTCAGCCTTGCCTTCAATTGGTTCATTTGTGGATGCAGAGCATGATGACACCTCGAGCTCCCGAGTTGAACCTGACTTTCACAAAGAAGGAGGAACTCAAGGCCCTTCAGAGTCTCTTGGACAGGGCACGTTCGGTGTCTTCACAGTCTTTGTCAGATCCTGGGAGTGCACCACCCTCAGGGATGCTTGCATTACCAGCCCCTCCCATGCAGGAGTCAAGCAAGGCTTTACAGGAGCCTGTGGTTCCAATTCCTGATGGACAGATGCCCACACCTCTTGCAGGCATTCCTGCTCAAGCCAGTCCACAGCAAACGTCACCGCCAGAAGTGGCTAAGACCCAAGTGCCTGAGACCCAAGTGCCTGAGACCCAGGAGCCTGAGCTGAAGATGACTGAAGCACTGGGCCAGGAACACATCAATGACAGGCCTCTAGCCTTGTCACTGGATGACAGTTTGCAGAAAATGAGGATGGCCAGATGCAAGGGGTCAGGGTCATCTGGTAGCATCCTTAAGAAGCCTGCGGCAGCAGCGAAGTGTTTGAAGAGACCGGCATCGAGTCAACAGGCATTGGGAAGATCCAACAAGCCACCATCCAAGCCGACTCCAAAGGCAAATTCAAAGTTCAAGAAGAAGAATGCCGCACAGAAGGGTCCGAAAGACTCAAAGGCAGCACAGAAGGCTCAGCTGAAGCAGAAACTGCTGGCCAGGATCCCTTCTTCTGAGAAGCTTCGCTGGAAGGACGGCTGCAGCCGGTGTAGGTTTGTGCAGTACTGCACCATCTCTTGCTGGAAGCTGAGGGGGTGGCGATGAATCGATGATTCTTTTGGGGGCTCTGTACATATATGCTTTTGTATGTATGGGACAAGAGTTGTGGGGTAGACTAGCTGTGGTAACATGGCAGTCAGATAGGGCTGTCGCAAGCAAAACAGACTCATGTTTGATCAATCGTTGCATTTTTCGAACACTCAGACAAGCTGATGCATGATATATAATACCTGTTGATACCATTTGATACCTGCTGATATCATTCGATACCTGCTGATAACTGTATAGAAATAAAACATATTTTTGAGCATTGGGGCTCATTGAGTCTTTAGTTTAGTGTTCTTGGCGGTGGTCCGCTGGGAAGTTGGAGTCTTCTGCAAGTGTATGCGTTTGCTGTGTTGCTTTTGGCTTGCATCTTCTATTGGTAGATGTGTCCAGTGTGTCGATGACTGAAGAGAAGGTGTCACGCCATGTCGAGCCCCCATGCAAAAGAGCATGTCCTAGGGCATCTTATATGGGTCAGCTGACAGTGGCTAACATCGAAATTGGTCATGATGTTTTCTGGTGAGTTTATTGTTTTTTTGGTCGGAATGTGTTTCTGTCTTCAACACTTGACTCTGTTTTTGCAGCATCCTTTGTTTATCAGTGGCTCTGACGCGTGACAACTAAGGCTGAAGATGGGATCTTGGTGGCGGAGGCAGAACCCCGTCTACCGCTTGCCAACTTGATGGCAAATCCTTTGAATGCTGAAACAATGACACCGAAAGTGGAGGAGGCTGAGCTTGAGATCAACATAGGGAGCACTGGTGATGATTACACAAAGGGACAACGGGAACAAGATCAAGCCCAAGGTGACTGGGAGATGCCTGGTGGTCGACAAGCAGCACAAGCCCAAGGCCCAGCTCCTCCACAAGACCACAGCCTTCAAGGACAGACGGGCGCCAGAGATGACCGGATTCAGGAAAAAAACAAAACTGAGTCGACCAAGGAAGAAACTGACTCGACAAAGACAGAGATCAAGGCTGATGAACCTGGTATGATCCATGATATCGGTGTTCCTCTGAGCCGGCATGAGATGAAGGAGTGGGCAGCAAAACTAGGAATATCCAGGCGCTCCCTAGAAAGAGGTATGGGAGTGCTTAGGCCGAAGTAGCTTTCAGTTTCACGGTTCAGCCAACAAGGAGTGAACAAAAAGACGGAGGGTGACCAAATGATTCAAAGCCGTGTCATACGACATGATGAACAAATCATTCAACATGTCATTGCGGTCTTTGTGAGGTGTGAGGCTTTCAGAAACAAGGCATAGAAACAAATCATAGACCATGTTGCTGTGTTTTTAGATACGTTGCTATCAGCAAAACATGTGGGCTTGAGC